AGTTCTTTACTTCTCTTTATCTCTCAATTATAAGAGAAATAAAACAGTAGTGGTACTACTTTATCTCTCTATGTGATCCCATACATAGAAGTTCAGAAATTCCAGCCCCATTCAAATTACTTTCAATTCATTGGGAAAGTTCTAGGGTGAAGACTGGCACACTCTGTACTATTTTTTCTTGTCTAATTGTACATATTTCAAGTGTAGGATTACTCCATAAGTGCGACTAATCGATAGAGCTTTCCTTGTGCTTTTGACCATTCAGCTGAACTCCTTTTCAATGAGCTCTTTAGTCCTCTGTGAAAAGAAACCCAGGGACCCACCTCACAGGTTCTCAAGCATGGTCAGACCCTCTCAGTTCCCAGATTAGTGGGGCTTTACTGATTTCATCTTTCATGCCAGTTCTAATGGATCAAGTATAGCTGACTGAAGTAATCTAGAGGAGAGGCCAGAGTTGAGTGAAAGAGCACTTTGATCACTTAGTATTGCCTGCCAAAAATACAGGAGGAAGGGAAAAGGAAAAGCAATCTCAGTGCTAGTGAAGCTAAACATGAGTCAAGGAGGAAGGGTATGAAAGATTCCTAACCTGTGAGAAGTCAGTGAAGGTGACAAAATGAGAGAATTGCCAAGACTGTTTGTGTGACAGCAAGGATGTGGGTTGGGGCTAAGAAGACCAAAATAGAAAACACTGCCTGACCTATAAAAATACTAAAATGTTTGTCAAGTAAATTATTTTTTTCTGGCTAAATAATATTGTGTGCTTATTATTTAAAAAAATCAACAACAACAACTAGGGGTCCTCCCTGGTAGCACAACTGGTTGGAGCATACCTCTGTGAAGCTAGCTGCAGCCACTGCAGCATGAGTTTGATTCCTGGCCAGGGAGTTGACCCACATGGTGGCAGAAGACCTCTCCTGTCTTGCCTGCTGCTCCCCTCAGCAGTGTACTTTGTCAGTCTCCCTGTTCTGTCCCCTGCTCTGTCTCTGGTGAATCCTCTCACTGGTCCTGCACCTCTGGCTTATACTCCAGTTCTGTATACATAGATAAATAAATCTTAAAAAAAAAAAGTCTTGGAAGTTTGACTTCCTAAAAAAAAAACTAGAAAAATGGAAAATATAAAGAAATTTTAAATAACCTACTACCCCATTATCCATTATCAACATTTACATATATTTTTCCAGATTTTTTCTATGCATATACATATTTTCATGTCTTCATTTTTTTTAAAGATTTATTTATTTGGCCCTCCCTGGTGGCGCAGTGGGTTAAAGCACAGCACAGAGAAGCTGAAGCCACTTCCACATGAGTTCGATCCCCGCCTGCCCCGGAGGAGACCACATGGCGCGGCAGACCTCTCCTGGCCCGCCCGCTGCTCCCTCAGCAGTGTACTTCGTCGATCTTCCTGTTCTGCTCCCCGCTCTGTCTCTGGTGAATCTTCTCTCCCTCCGCATCTCTGGCCTGTACCCCAGTTCTGTACGAATAAATAAATAAATCTTAAAAAAAAAAGATTTATTTATTTATTTGTGCATACAGAACTGGGGTACAGGCCAGAGGTGCAGGGCCAGTGAGAGGATTCACCAGAGACAGAGTGGGGAGCAGAACAGGCCGATTTTTGAAGTACATTGCTGAGGGGAGCAGCAGGTGGGTCAGGAGAGGTCTGCAGCACCAAGTGGGTCACCTCCAGGCTAGGAGGGGATTGAACTCATATGGAAGTGGCTTTAGCTTCTTAGTGCTGTGCTTTAACCCCCTGTGCCACAGGGAGGGCCCCATGTCTTTATTTTAAGTGATGACCAGTATATTATTTTTACTATGCCATTATATATTTCTTGAAATAAGAAGCTTTGAATAGTATATCAAACTGAGATAGAAACAAGGAAACAAGAACTTAGGAAATAAATTTCTCAAAAAAACTGAACAAAGTGAAAGTAAATTTTCTTCTAGTGACTCCAGACCAGAACTCAACTTGGCTAACTCCGTGATTTCAGCATTGTTGTAGAGGAGAAAACAGTCCCCAGCTCTAATTGTCAAAATTCTGTTTAATCAAAGTATCCTGACAATTATGAATAGCTGATTGGCCAAATCAAATATGGAACAAGATAATATAATAAATATAATGCAATGCAAAACTGGTCTATTTTTTTCCCCTAAGGCTATTTATCAAGTGATAAGTTTAGTTGAATAGGAATCCTAATAATATTTAAACATATTTACCTGGTTTGCCAAAATTAATTCCAAACTAGGGATCCAGATATTCTAGAGATTTGTAATTCTCAAGTACTGCTATGATTTTAATCAAGACGGTTAAAAATGTACAACACCACATGAAAGGTCTCACCTCAGCCCCCTGACCCTTTCCGTGCTTGGTATGTTATCTCAGGTGAAATCAGATACCCTCCCAAGCCTCAATTTTCTATGGTTAAATGAGGAATGAAATGAAATGGTTCCTAAGTCCCATTCCAGTTATAGCCATTCACAAATCTATTCATTTAGATTGTGAACAAATATTTCAGGTACAACACTAAGTAGGAGGTGAGGCAGGATGAGTGGAATATAAGATGAGTGGAATATAAGACTAACAAAAGACACATCAAACATCAGAGTTTCTGACTTCAAGAAGTCTATGATATAGTTTATGATGTGCCATAAAAGAGACACAACCCCTATTGAATAAGTAAAGCGGGTAGATAGACCCATTCTAATGAGACTTCCAAATTTCATGAGGAATGGACAAATGAATTGAAGAATCTCCAAAGAGAGTTGGATTTTGATAGACAGAAATGGAATCTGGAGGGGGTGGTTATTAAACACATACAGACAAAAGGTGAACATATACAATAAATATATGTGTGTGTGTGTGTGTGTGTATCTCCCACTCTACCACTGGCCTTTTCTTGGAAATTGGAATATAGTTAACTATTTTTATATGTTAATTTGGTTATAGATTTATTCAGGGAACAAAATTTACCAAATCCAATTGTGAATGTTTTAATACTAAAACCCAGAGGTAGTCATGGCCTTAGACATATTTACATCACTTTGTTATTATACTGAGTTTTCCTCTTTTCCTTCTTGAGACAGTCACACACAAGACCTAGAGCTGCCAATAGCTCTTGGCAGACAATAACCTGAGAAAAAAGGGGGAAGGGAGATAAGGACTTGCTAGCATTTTATATAAAGATCAACATATGCTACTCAAAAAGGAAAATAACTAAAATATACTTAACCTTTCTCTGATTTATAATACTATCTCTATGGAACATCAAAATTGACTATATTGTGTTATAGGTAAGAACGATAGAATGCCATGGGCTATCTCTGCATGTGTGACACAGAATCTAAGACACAATCATTTTAAATAAAACCTTGTTAGATTGCTCCCTGTAGACACACACACACACACACACACACACACACAAAGAGTAGCTATGTGCTTATATACTATTTTTACTACTTTAAATGTACTAACTCCTTTAATTCTCCTTAAAATTCTCAAGGTAATGATTATTATCACCTCCATTTTATTGCTGAGGAAATTAATGCACCACAGAGTTAAATAATTTGCCTTTGTTACTACTATGAAACAGCAGATCCAGGTTTCAAATTCATGGCTGTCTAGTTTTAGAGTATGCTCTCAGTTATTCTGCACCTACGTACTCAGGGTACTTCACTAATAAACCAGGAGAGCTGCTGAGTTTTGTATCCATTCTCTTATCTGTATAAAAACAGTGCTAAGTAAACCAAAGAATGAGATAGCCTCATAATAGTTTCTTCCCCTGAGATCTAGTGCCCCTGGTGTAGATTACAACAGCAAGAAGACTTCAATAAAAATGTGAGTGGCAACTGTAGATCTATATCAGGTAATACTGGGAGCTGTGTCAGTATCATATAAGTATTTCTAAAACTAAAGATCTTAGCACTAGCAAAGGGGTAAAGATAACTAATACACATCAGGGAGTTGAGCTTAAGAAAAATAAAATAGAAAAAAGTACACTCTGAAACATTTAAAAGTCTGAGACTATTAAACATTTTTTTAAATTAAATCTTTACTGAAAGTAATTTCCCATTTTTTCTTTGTCCTTACATGGAAGTTGGGCTGGTGCGGAGTTGAAATAACAGATTTTGAACAATCAAGGAGTAATAAAAATACCAAAAGTGCCTGAAAAATGAAGTGGTACTGGCTGCGAAATCTTCCAAGAATTCAATCATGAAGCAAAACTGATAAAGAAGAGCTGGCATATTGGAAACTATCAGAAATAATAAAATTTTCTGGCTGTCATTATAATGTCACCAGAAGAGTTTGTGAAGATATTTACAGATTCTTTCATGTCATCTATGAAATAAAACTGATCTTTATACTCACATACTTAGATTCAAAGATTGAAATTGTGTGTAAATAATTTGTAATAAAATAAAATTTCTGATTCTATGTGAAAATTATTTCCTGTGGTAAACAAAAATCAATGTTAATACATAGAGCATCTTAAGGTGAATTAATTCTATTTATATTAATAGATGCATTACTATACTAAGTGAGAAAAAATAATTCTGAGAGTAATAATTATGTACATTAATACAGGCACAATGCACAAAGGACAAAAGAAATTTTATCCAGATTTTTAGGCAACTGATTGATTAGAACAGTATTGTATAACTATTATTCAATCTGAAATTATAGACCTAAACCTAATGTCTACAGCCTCTATTACAATCATGTGCCAAACGTCATTTTAATCACCTTTAGAAAGGATTGTTGCTTTACATAATATTGGGCATGTGGTAGTGTAAATAAATCAGTGCCTTTCCTCCCTTTCTGCCCAATGTTCTCTCCTTTTTTAAAGTAATAAAGTTATAGCCTTTGAGAAGTTTGTAACATTTTTGGAATGACAAGATATACACTCAAGGAAAAGTTAAAGAAAATAAGCCACATGTACGCAAGAGTACAAACACTTAACTATTAAAAAAAAGAGACAGAAATCAAAGAAGGCAAAAATTCTGTTTACCTGGGATACTTCAAGGAGGAGAAAGACATGAGAAGAGTCCTGACACACAGGCAGGTTTAGCTAAGATGGGTAGGAGGAGCCTTTCAAACTAAGCAAGCAATAAGATCTGGAAATTGACCCTACAGCTTCATGGGACATTCCAGCCAAATCAAAGCTGAGCTTGAGGGAGTAGCAATACCTGATACCATCTTCTAGGCACTTACTCTCCTTCAGAAGGCGCTTGTCTCATTCAGCTACCAAATTCCTCTTTCCAATACATTTGTCAGCCGGATTCCTCCCACTCTCTATAACTATTTCCTATTTCCGACCCTGGTGAAATGTATGAACAAATGTATCAAAATCAATTATTGTGAATTAATAGATTGAACTGTATCATAATCCCTGAGGGACAGGACCACATGAAAGGAAGATTTTGTATAGGGGATTCTAAGCCCTTGCATCAAATTTGACAACACCTGGCATAAATTAACACTAAAATAATCACTAAGAGCATCCTAAAATAATCACTACTAAAGACTAAAATAACCAATGAACATAAATAGAAACTAGACATAAGAGCAGATCTGGAGACAGAAATGCAGAAGCGCTGCCTCGGATGCTGTGGGGTCATCACAGAGAGCTGGAGAAAATCCCAAGCCAAAGGAATCTAAGCATGATACTAGAAAATTGATACAGGAACCCGAATACTGAGAACTATTCAGGTTTTTATGCAAAAAGTAATCTTCATGGCTGACATGGTCACATTTCTCTTTCCAATGACAAGAGGGATGCATTCACTCTGTTCCATGCTAAAATAGGATTATAAATGGCAACTGACTTCACAAAATCATTTCAGTTACATAAAGATCAGTCCTGTTCACAACGTGAAAATGTCAGTTAGCTCCATATCTGAGATTCAGTCACAGCTACACAGGTTTTCAGAGAGGCGTGCTTTTCTGATCGTGGCAGGTAAGTGTTTATGAAAGTTCCTCCCTTTGCCGCACTGCAGCAGCACACAAGGTGAAGAGCAGAGATACAGAGCTCCAGTTCACTGCTGTGCATGCCCAGATGCTTTTTCCATTCTAAAATGAATGTGAATTTCTCTGAATCTTTTTTAGGCTAAAAATAGATGTCTAAAAACGATGGTAATGGATGTGATTTCTTTCATCCCTAAACACTGCTGCTGACCCAGCATCGGGAGGGCATGCACTAGAGGCCAGCTGTCTAAGTGACAATGATGGATTTGCAAGCTGCGTGAGATCAATTATTTAACTGGTTAGAAAGAGGACAAAACAAATCAACCTGAGCAGAAATGAAATGTAAGCCTTTACTGGTACTTAGAGGTCATGGTGAGGCTCAGCCAACTTCTTCACTCTTGACTCATCCTTTCTTTTACCACCAAATTTGAAAGGAAGGAAAATAACATCACCCTTTGTGTTTTAACACTAAAATAATTACTAATGTATAGTAACACTGAACAGAGAGATGCTAAGTTAATGTTGAGATAGAATGTAACATGCAATCTCCATGAAAGGGGAGGTTCCATGTTCTGTACCCTACCCGATGCAGGATAGAGCTGAGCAGCAGGGGGTAGATAGAAAGGATAGAAAGAAGACATGGAGAGGCAGGTGGAGCAGAGACATGTGAGAAGACGTGTTTGCTTTTAGCCTTGGACTTGTGCCAGTGACTTAGGGGACATGAAAGGAGACATGTGAAAGAGACAGAGACATGGGGGAGAGATCCATGGGGAGGCTGACAATGGCAGCCTTCATTTTGACTTGTACCTTGATTTTGCTCTTCTCCTTCCAGACTTGCTGTTTGTTCTTATAGTTACCTGCCAGAAGGTGCTTTGGGCTGTTGGCAATCTATCAGGATTCAAATGACTACTTTGGGCCAACCCTGATTGCCTGGGTATTTAGCCATGAGAGAATTGGTAGCTTTGGGCATATAATGGGAAAAAATTGTTCTTTTTTTTCTTCTCTTTTCTCTATTGCACACTACTTCTTTTGAAGTTATTTTCTGTTGGCAGTTTTACACACTAAGAGTATGTTTTGTCCTTGTATGGTGGGTAGCAGAACCCATTTAAAGAGTGTGCAGACTCGGAGGTCCTGGAATGACCCTCAATCTGCCCACAGATTGACCTCTGTGTCTGTGGGCTATCACAGATGGAATCAAAATATATTGTCTTGGGAATATTCTCAGCCTTCCAAACAAGAGAAATTATAGTTTGTTGGTTCAACTTCTTAGTTTCCCCCACATACTCATCATTGTGCTTGACTAAGTGTTTGACTTAGGCAAACTAACTCTAGACTTTTGATATCACAGAAAAGGTAGAAAAAAAGAGAACCAGGTCTGGTCTGAAAGACCAAGAGGGAGGGATTTTCACTTGTAAGGTGAGTGTTCAGGCTCGCAGGGAAATGTGGAATGTGGAAAATGTGGAATGGTGTAAAATACTGGAAAACCTAGGGAGGGAGGGGAGAGAGTGAAAGTAGGTGTAGAAGAGGGGAGAGAATGAATGAGAAGTTAAGTAAAGATCTAAAGTCTGAAGATGGGGTAAAACTCAGGTGGAAAACAGGGTTTTACATGAGAGTATGGATGAGAACCCAGTAAGAAAGAAAGAATGTTTTAAAAAATGGAACTGAATTTGATTAGGTCACATTTATTCTTCTATGAGAGATGAAGGAAAAAGAACTTATTTTAAAATGACTTATGCTGATTAGAGTTCAGTTTTAAAGGAAACTATATATATATATATATATATATATATATATGTATGTATGTATGTATGTATGTATGTATATATTGTGTCACCCAAGGCCAAAGGAATCTTTTATTTTATAGTAATCTTATTAGCATACATAAAGCAAGATGTACATGAAAAAGAGGATTAATCAGTCATAAAAACACATGAAACTGAAAAGGAGAAACACTCTGGTATGTACAGAACTCTACAAAGACTGTGCCAGAAAGGAAAGCCTGGGTCCAAGGATGACCTTACCCAGTTGCTGGGATAGATAATTAAGCTTACTATGGGAAGATGATACTCTAATTCAAACTCCTAAGAATAAATGCTAGATGAGAGCTGTTTAGAAACTAAGAGAATGGGCAGTCAGAATGGCTAGCATAAAAATCCTAACATGAAATGTTAGCAAAGATGCAGCACCAAATCATTCATACATTGTTGATGGGAATGTAACCTGGCACAGATAGCTGCAAAATAGTCTGACAAACTATTTTAAAGCTGAATATTTATTCTTGTGAGAAATAGACTATTAAAATTAAAGTTGACTGAAAAATAGTAAAGATATTATTTAATTATATAATAATTGATAGTAGTTTTCTATACTTTACCTTGAGGTCTAATTATCTTTGCTTTGAAATTCAGAAAAATGGGTAAAGTGTCTAAGGTCAACTAAACTTGTGACACTGAAAAACAAAGTGATTAGCTTTTTTAACTAAATCTTTAGGAGTATGATTATTAGATCAGTGGTTATACTTGAAGTTTTAAAATATATATGCCAGATTTCAAAGTGAATAGTTTATTAACAAATGCATCTCCAATTAATATTCATACTAATAACAACTCAAATTTTTCTATATTTATAGACATTTTTAGCAAAAATAAAAATTAAATGTAGAATGTATGTCAGAAATTATGTTATGTGCATTAAGTTAAATTAAAACTTAAACTTTTAATAAATTGTTTCAAAACAGTAATTCAAACCAAACTACAAGCTACTACCACCTTCAAAATGAAGGCCACAATATTTATTTAACTTCTGGGCTTTCAGATAAAATTGTTTTATTGATCTCTCAAGATGTAGCTTACCTAAAAACCTATAGAAAAAGTCTATCTTTCATGAACAAAGGTTTTTAGGTTCATAGACTTGATGAAAACTTGAGTTAAAAATCAAAGTAAAAAAAATCAAAATCAAATCCAAATGACCATAACTAGAAGACCTAGAGAAGGATTTGTGTTTTTTGAGCAAAAAATTGTTTACTAACAAAATGAGATAGCTAAACTGGCTAACTTTAAAATATATAAAGTATAATCATATCTTTTGAAGCTAGAATAGTCAACAATCATAATTATTAATCTTTATATGATGATAAAATTAAGTTTGTTTGTAAGGACAATCCAAAGAAGTTTCACATATTCTATCCCACCTGAATGTCGTAAGACACCAGGTAGATTCCTTTATTTTCATTTCATGAACAAGACAACTGAAGCTCAAAAAATTAGTTGACTCACTTGAAAACATACAGTTCAGATGAAAACAGAGCCAGAAGTCAAAACCGTATTTAAATTTCAAGTTCATATATGTTCTCCCAGGCACTCTGCCTCTTGTTTGTTTAGTCCTTACTGAACATCAGTAGGCACCAGAAAATATTCTAAACTTGTATTGAACTAGAAAAGATAGACAAAATATCATATATTATAAGCACTGAGTGATATGAAATGGCAGGAAGGGAAAATAGACAAAAATTAAAAATTAATTCATAACATCTAAGAATGAGCTAAGTGCTGTCAGAGATGAATCAGGATTAGAGGAGAGAGAATAATGAGAGATGGTATTTCAGATCACGTTACCAAGGACATTTCCTCGGATGAGGCTAACTTTCGAGCAGAGATCAGACCAAATGAGAAATCCAGCCACGCAAACATGAAGGACAGGAGGACGCCAAAGGGACACAGGGACATGTTTTTATCATTAGTTGTTCCAGGCCTCTTTCTGTTAGCTTAAAATTGATGCCAGAGACAGGGAAAATGCATTTTCTTTAGTATGTGAGGGGAGGTAGAGACGCAATAGTACAGCCGTCATAGAGAAGCAAGGAATGAAAGCTTCTGGGATTTCCACTCTGATATGACTTTTCAAAATTCATAGCTTTCTTCATAGGACAGTGTGGGAAGCATAGCTTTTCATTGCACCCCTTTTAAATTTTGTATATCAATCAACAGATTCAGATCAAATAAAGTTCATTCACAATTTGGTAAGTATCTTTTAAAGGTACTTAGTAGATAAAGACAGGGCTTAAATTACTTTTTCTCGTGTTTAACAGTTTTTATGAACATACTG